TCCGCTGTGCCCAATGACAATGAAGTCGCTATAGACCTTTTGCAGCTCTTGTAGCAGTTGGCGCTTGGCTCCAGCAAGGGGAGGTGTGGTGCGCGAGGGCAGCTATGGGGCAGACAGCACAGATCTGTGGCTGTGCGGTCCTCCGTGGTTCAGTGCCTTCGGGGCGCAGCAGTGCGCCTGGCAAGATAACTTTGGCGGTGAGGCAGTTGTTGAAGGTCTAGCGTGAGGGGTGGCCGAGCAGCTGGTGCCAAAGGTCATCGTCTGCACGGACTCCAGGAGTGCGCAGGTATCTTGCATGATGTGCGGCTGCCTCTGCTTCTGTCTCGTGGGGAATGCAGAGCACGGGTGCTTTTTCTTCTCCTGGTTCTGCTCCTGCTTCCTCCTCTCCTTCTGGTTCTGTCTCTGCTTCTCCTTTTGCAGGTGCTGTTGACACATAGAGCGCAAGGAAGTTGCGGTCAGGGATGGTGTTGAGCGGAGTGGTGGTGCCTTCAATGAGGCGAGCGAATGGGTCTGGGCGTGAGAGGGATCCGTAGGTGTCGCGCGGCGGAGTTGCGGGCTCATTCCCGCGATCGAGCCCATTCCAGGAAGAGTGCTAGACATTTCTCTATCCGCCTCCTCTAGTTCTTCTTGGGTGAGTTTGCCTTCAGCAACTCCCGAAGGTCCAGTGGTATCCCAGCCTCTTCCGCCGGTTCCCTAGCCGCCTTCCGTGCTTGAGGCACCAAAAGCTGACGCCCATGTTCCGCCTGTATTTTTCGTGTTTTCTGTGTTGCCCCATCCCCATCCTCCATCAGTGGGGGCGGATCTTGCCACTTCTTTGTCCCATCCTGTCGCGATTCTATCTCTGATAATCTCCTCTCTCTCTCTCTCTCTCTCTCTCTCTCTCTCTCTCTCTCTCTCTCTCTCTCTCTCTCTCTCTCTCTCTCTCTCTCTCTCTCTCAAGCAGTCCTTCATTGATATGGTTCGACAGGTACACGCATGGCAGGCCAGTAGGAAGTCTAGGCATGGAGACAAACTGGTAGCTAGACTAGCAATGCAAGCCACCAAGAAACCAACAAAAACAATCAACAAACAACAATCAACAATCAACAATCAACAGACAATCAACAAACCACAAACAAACACCCAACATCACTACGAGTGCTGATGGTGTCCGTGCTCGTTAGTCACTCCTCACTAGTGGGGCCTTGTCAAACCCACCAGCAGAACCCCTCCCACTCTTGCCCAGGACCCCCTTCCCCCCTGCTGCCGCTGCCGCATGTCCCCCACCGCTCTATCCCCTCCCTGCTTCCAACAGCCGCTTCCCGCCCACTCCCCCCTCCCCCTGCTCCCCTCGAGTTCCTCAAGCCGCTCTAGCCAGGGTGTTGCACCCCTCATACTCGTCCTCCAGTGTCTGCCAGAGATCCCCCATGCTCGGCTCCCACGGGTCCATGGCAGCCTGGGGGAACGCCGCTTCATCTGCTAAGTTCGACTTGTTCAAGAAGGTCGTTGCCTGGGATCGCTGCAGCATTACCGACCAGCATTGCCGGTAATGGGCTGTGAGCCGTGCTGTTGTTGTGGTCAGCTTCCCCTGGCGGAACTTCTTCTTGGCCGTTGAGGTAGCTAGGAGTCGGAGAAATTGCTGTGTGTCCGTGCTCAGCGCCCCATACGTCTCTACCGCCAGCCCGAAGAAGCCAACATAGTCCGGGCGGCCCTCGTAGAGACGGTGTTTCGTCTCCGACGCCTCCTCTGCCGCCCACCCTGGCGGTTTCCTGGCCAGCGTGTCCCTGCGTTGAAGTACAGGGTCAGTTACAGTGACATCCGTCACCCAGGTCTCATTGGACTCTCTGTCCCTGAAGGCCAGATCCCCTCGCTTCCTCGCCGATGGTGGGGAGAAGGCCGATGTCTCGTAGAAGCACGTGTACTCCGCTTCCCTTGCCATTCGAAGAGCAGCATACACTAGCGCATTGTGTGTCCTGACCACGTCCTCGCCGTAGCCTCATCGCAGGAGGTGGTTCGGCAGGCTCGTGTCCGTGATGTTGCAGTTGTTTCTTCCGCAGGGGCATCGCAGAGTGACTGGTAATGTCATGCCGAGCCGGAAGCCCAGGGCCAACGAGAACTGACCAGGGGCGAATGTAAGGTCAGTTCTCGTGGGCACGGCATGAAGCCAGTCCCCCGCTCCCACCCCTTGCAGGCTGATGAGGCGCACTGCATGCCCACGGTCTCTGCCGGGCCTATCCGTGATTGTATCCGTCAGCAGCTCTAGTGCCCGTGCCTCGTTAATGTGGTGGGACAGTGTCAGCTGCAGGTTGCCCTGTCCTGCCGGTCGTTCCCTGTACGTCTGTAGTGCTGTCCTTGCCGCTGCCGGCAGTCCCGCCTCAAGCGTTGTCAATGGGTTGACCCCGAGTGGTTCAGGGCTCCAATCGTGGTCTAGCAGAGTCGCCGCCCTGCTCAGGAGGTGTCCCTCGGGCAGGTTCATCTGCGTCAGTAGTTGCTGGGCTGCCGTTATTGACGCAATGTAGGCCGCCGGCGCTTCCGAGGTTGGGTCGATGATACCCAACCCCCCCAACCTGACAGGTAGTGTTCCCTGGCGCCATAATAGGCTCCGTTCAAGCTCACAAGCTGGGACCCGTACTTTCGCCGCTGCAAGTGCTGTCGCCATCAGAGTCTCACTCCACGCTCTCCATTCCTCCCGCCCCAATACTTCCGCCGGAGTTGTGCGTAGCAGGTAGGAGATTCTACGGCTGATGCTCCTCGAGAGGACGAGCATGGCGTGCTGGGGGTGCAGCTGGGCGATCAGCGGCAGCGGCGCCGATGCGTCCTGGAGGCGTGCCTGCGCCTGGTTGGTGCAGAATTCCGCTGTGCCAATCGGGCTCCCCAAAACGCCGATGCCCGTGGTGTTCATTTGCAGGCCTTCCGGCGGCGGCACCTCGTTCTCCCCTTCAACGGCAGTCCACCCAGTTGACTTCGCGATGTTGCAGCGGAGCCCCAGCCCCCCGAGCTCCTTCGTGATGTTCTTGAAGGCTTCATAGGCGGCATCCCGAGGGCCTACAATCGTGATGTCGTCGGCGTACGCGACGACTGTCACTCCAGGGAGCAACATCGCCGTGCTGAGCAGTGTGGGCTGGATCGCAGCTGCAAACAGGAGGGGGCCCAGCGGATCGCCTTGTCTTACTCCTCGCGCACTCGCGATATGGTCTACGCCAAGCCTATGGTATACGAGGAGGCGTGACGGACCGTCATAGAGCGTGCGTACGAGCGGCAGTAGCGGCTGCGAGAGCGCTCTGAAGAATGCCGCCCGCTCCACGCTATTAAACGCATTCTCAATATCTATCTGCAGGGCGACGCGTCTCTCGTCCTCTGCCAACAGCGACCGTTCCGAGTGGACAATGCATTCCGCGCCCCCCGGGACTGCCACGCCGAACTGCACGGGGAGAAAGAACTCCCGAATTTCTTGGGACAGTCCCTTAAGAGCCGCTTTCGCCACTACACGCAGCAGGGCCTCGCCAATCGCTATCGGGCGCACACCTCCGCCTGGCTTCTCCAGCGCTATGAGTCTTGATGGCAGCAGCAGATCCCTGACGGCTTGCGATTGCAGGGTACTTAGAAGGTAGGATATTGCTTTAGCGAGGAGAATAAGGACTTCCTCGCTACCGAGCGCTGGGTCTTTGAGATGCTCGAAACATGTGCCTGAGGGCCCTGCTCCCACCCCGTTAGGGCATCGTTTGAGGATTTCGCGAAGATCGTCAGGGCTGACTCCCAGCTCAGTTTGGGTGTAGCCGGTAACACACGTGGGTGTTGACGAAACTGCGGCTGGATGCTTCGCACGCAGGGCTGCGAGAGTTTCTGGGGTGGTGTCAGCGAGCGGGGTTGTTTGCATCGCAGCAACCGCTTTTGAGATGTTTCCTTTCCGTATTAAACTCTCCACCCGTGCACACACCCCTGTGTCGTCGGCTTGGTGTCTAATCGGGTGTCCACTGTCGGGGATGACGCTTGCCTCCTCGAAAAGGTCTTTCCAGTTGCCTTGCTGAAATTTCTGCAGTCTCCCTTCAATCCTCGACCAGAGTGACCCTTCGACTGGCTCGGGAGGCGGTCGAAGGGTCAACCTAGGTAGGAATTGTAATATCGCCCATGCACCTGTACAGTGGGGATATTTTGCGAGTCGGAGAAGTGGTGATAGGATGCACAGGGTGTAACTCTGCAGGATCGCCGGCGGCAGTCTGCGGACGAGAAAGGGTTGGTCCCCCCTTTGGAGCTTGCTGACATCCCAGGTGGCAGCATCTTGCCAGATGTCCTCGTTCGCAGCCAGGTCAGCTGGTGACACGGCGTTCGATCCACCTCCGCTGCTGCAGCTGCTCCGATCCCCGTGCCACCTCTCCGCTGGGGCCCATGTGCAGTGTCTCCTTCCTCCTCTAGCGAAATCTCTTCTGAGGCAGGACACTCTGTTGGGATAAAATCCTCCCCATCATCTGAGTTGTCAGAGTCCCCGGCCCCCTGATTCGCTGGTGTTGCTTCCCTGTCTGGCCGATCGTGGCGTTCCCGCCATGTGCCTGTTCTGATCGGCGCCTCCCTTCCGCCGACAATCACCCTTCCTGCGCCTCTCGCCCCTCGTGCTCCGCCGCGCCGTCCGCGCACGGTGGTACATCCTCTTGCCGGTGTGTTGGCGTTCCGGCCACCGCCGCGTCCGGCGTCTGGCGCCCTACCCGCCGGTAACCACGGTGTGTGTGGTGATCCGTTGCGCGTCATAGTCGGCCTTCCCCAGACGATTCCCTGGGCTCAAGTCCTGCTGCGCGTTTCGCGGGGCATCACCTGTGGGGTGTCGTTCTCGGCTTGGTGGGCAGGCGCCGCTTCGGGTATGTTTTCCTGTTCTGCTCCATGTTCTTCCCTCGCCTCGCATGTTCCTCTCTCCTGGGGCGCTTGTGGTCTTGCGGCCACCAGTGCACTGTCTCTCCTCCTGCTGTCCGGGACTTGTCCTGCCCTTACTCCCGTCCCCATTTCTTCGCCCCCTCTGTCTGGCCCCACAGATGGCGTCTGACGCTTTCGCGCTTGTGGCGACTGCTCTTGCCGAAGCCAGCCCCGGAGGGGTCCCGGGGCCCCAGGTCCCAGCCCTGCTCCGGGCCGCCTCGGCGCTGGCTGGGCGCGCAGCTTCGTCCTCCTTGTCGCCGGGGCGGGCATCGGAATCGGCGGCGTTCCCGGGATCCTCTCTATCACCCTCCGCCCGGCCGTTCTCCTGCCTGCTTGAGGCCACGGCAGCAGCAGACGTTTCGGCGGACTCAGCGGCGGTCGGCGCGGAATGTTCGCTCGGGGAACGTTCTTGTCTCCTCGTCGCCACAGCGACAACCGCCGCAATCTCAGGCGACCCAAGCAGTGACGGGGGTTCCGTCAACATTGGCGCCGGTGAATCCGCAGCCCCCTGCCCCACTGGTTCCTCCTCCGCAGCCGGAGCCTCGCCCGCCGCTGGTAACGTCGCCGGCTGCACCGCAGAGGGCGAGGTTGAGCCGCCGTCAAAGGCGGCAGCAGGCCCGCTCGGCTCCCGTGCTAACTCCATCGACTCAGCCAACGGTGCCTCCTTAGTCTCCTCCCGCGCCGTCACACCCGGTTCCCCAGCCGCCCCCTCCTCCCCCGAACCAGTTACCTCTACCCCAGCCACAGCTGCACCATCAGCCAGCTTCCCAGTTGCCGCCGCTCCCCTCTGCCCCTCCTGCACCCCCCGTTGCTGTTCCTGTGGCCGCGTTGCCTCCTCCCGTCGAGCAGCGCGTAATGCACGTGGGGACGTGTTTGACGCTGCTGTCGTACGTCCTGGACCAGCTCCACGTGTGTTTGGCGCGTCAGAGCGTGGAGGTTGGGGGCATGCTCCCCGTGGAACGGTCCGCGGCAGTGGCCGCGGCGACGGAGATGTTGCATTATCTCCCCTTGATCGGCTTTTTGCCGGGTGCCCCCGGTGCAGCGCTCGGGCCCGGCCCCCGGGCAATGGTAAGGCTTGCTGAGTCCGCCTGGGAGGCCCCCATCGGCCTTGTGTCAGCAGCCGCATCCGTCCTACGCTGGATGGACGGGAGGCTTTGCTGGATCCTGGCCGAGTAGCATGTGTTTTTCCCTTGCAGGCTCCCTTAGTGCTGGGGCTTGCCTTGGGCTTCCCCATGGCGGAATCCCCTCGCCCGGGGGTGTTGTTCTGTTTAGTCGTGCTAGCAGCTATTGATGTACTCCATGCTATTATATGTCTTGTGTTGCTTCTCCCGTTGCCACCCCTCGCGCGCGGCCAAAGGCCGCGCTGTCGAGCGCCGGCCGCTGAAGGCAGCCGGCGCGAGCCGCCGGATTTGCAGTGAGAAGGAACCCACCACCAAACAATGGGAATGGGAGTGGGCTCCTGCCTCTATATACTAGGACGGTAGGCTGAAAACAGTCAGGAACAGCAGTACACTATGAGCCTAGGCTACACTATGAGACTGGGCTTGTATATCTAAGGACTAAGTAACCTTGGGTCTCTCTCTCTCTCTCTCTCTCTCTCTCTCTCTCTCTCTCTCTCTCTCTCTCTCTCTCTCTCTCCCTCTCTCTCCTCTTGCTTTGCCTTTATCTCTTCTTCCTTGACGCTAAGTTCCTCTGGTGCATCAGGATCCTTCCACTCCTTGTTCTCTTGGTGGTGGACCTCGCGGTTGCAAGGGAGTGGCTGATTCTTCTCATCATGCGCTCCGTTTCTTCTCCTTCGAGAATCCATTAAACCGTTTCTGATGCAGGGCCGAGGCGTTCTGCTTCCGGGACGCCAAGTTCTTCTTGCTTGTTGCCGAAGACGCGATAGGAGGCAGTTGCCAGTTCTATCTCTGTCATGCCTTTCGTTGGTGGTGCATCGCTCTCCGCTTCTTCGATTGCCGCTACTTCCCTCTCGACTTTCTCGGTGCGGCTTACTGTGGGTGTGAAGCAGCTGGTGCAGCGCCCATCTGGTCCAGGTGAGTATATATTCATCTCACCAGGGTGAGGGTTGCGTCTAATCCACGGCGGCACGTCAAGGTGGTTCCATGAGTTCTCGGACTTGTGAGCAAAGTCCAGTGGGATGAGGTCCGCGAGCTCGTCAAGCGTGGCTCTGCAGTCGGGAAGGTCGAAGTCGAGCACATAGACTCCGATGATGGAGCGTGCTCTCCCGAGGTATTTCCGGTCTTCGACAGGTGTGTCGGGAGGAGCGAAGTAGAGCTCGAGGTCACGTGTGAGAGGGTCGGTGGTGAATGTGACTCCACAGTCGGAAAGTTGTCCCGCAGACAGCAGATTCAAGCGCAAGTTTGGCACATAGAGCACATCGTTGAAGGTGAAGTGTGTGTTGTTGTCTCGTACTTGTAGCATGACTATGCCTTGTGCATTCGCTGGCAACTGATTGTTGTTGGCAACGGTGACGTAGGTGGCAGTGGGGGTGGTGATCACATTGGAGATGTAGCGCTGTGATCCCACCATATGTTGGGCGCATCAACTGTCCAGGTACCAGTTGTTGTGGGCGTCGTTGTTGCCGCGTATGAGCAGCGAGAGTCGCGGTGTGACGATAGTCGCTGTATTGACCGTGAGAAACTCTTCTTGTTCGTTCCATCCCCGAGGGACCGGTCGCTGATCATGACGGTGAGGCAGACTCCCTCATAGCTGGATTGGTAAGCTCCAGTCTTGTTGGTCCTTATCTTCGTAGTAGTAGTGACTATCGGTGACGGGATTATTGCGATCTACTTCAGCTTTGATTAGCTCGCCGGTTGGCTCCTCGTCTCCGTTAGGCGTAGTAGCTCGTAGGCAACGGCGCGTTGCCATGTTTGCGATTACGTTCCTTTTTCCTCCTGTCTGACGTGCGTGCGCCTATACTATGTTGTTGTTGTTATGTAGGTAGATGGGGAGCTTGAGGTTGAAACTGACGAGCGTCTTGTCGGTCGACCCAATTGTTATAGTGAGTGGAGTTCGGGTGGCGATTGTTGGACCCGAATCTGCATCGGTCCATTGAGTGTCCGAAGCCTTTGCAAATTTTGCAGTAGTGGCATCGCGGTTGTCATCGCTCTTCACGATTGTCAGCGTAAACGGCGAGACGCTCTCGTGGTGGCACAGAGCTTGTCTTGCTTCAGTCCATGTCCTGTTGTTCAATGAGGAGAGCGGTGCATAGGGCAGCTTCTGAGATTATCCCTCTTTGTCGGAGTAGCACCTTGCAGGGCTTCCACTCAGGCCCGAGTCTGGTGAGTACGATGTTGACGAAGATTTCCTCCGAGTTCGTGTTCCTGTGCTTCGTGACTTGATCATAGATGTTCCGACAGCGCTTAATATATCAATTTGCTTTCTCCCCGTGCCCCATCTTGGTCTCCATAAGTTGCTGCAGGAGCTTTCTGGAGGTGACTGAGTCCTTCGGCTGATATACCTCGATGAGGTGCTTCCAGGCTTCCAGCGCTGGAGCGGTGCTCTCTTTGTAGGAGCCGATGCCGAGTTGCTCCACGGGCGTCTTGTTTCTTAGCAGCACGCTGTACGCCATCAGGGACTCGCTGTAGTACTGAGCCCAAGCGTCTTCGATGTCGTTCACCTGTTTAGAATAGGAGACGTCGAATTAATGGTAGATCTGCGCCGTCTGTAGGAAGAGCTCTAGCTCAGAACTCCATGTGTCGAAATCCTTGCCGTCAAATGCGGTACTTGTCTTGATTTTTGAAACGTTGAGAAGGCGTACTTGCACAGAGTTCATTGCTTCATTACTTTGATGGGGGGATGCTGGTGTTTAATTGTTTGTGTCGAGGGAGAAGGAATGCGGGGCGGTTCCAAGGCCATTCATGGCCGGTCGAGCAGGTTGAGCGGGTAGCGAGGAGGTTCCCGCATCACCATTCCGCAATGCTTGAAGATCTTTCCCCATTGTTAACAATCTCGTTGAAACAGTTGCTCGAATGCGATGGTGCTGATCGTAGTTGTCGCCTCGGTTGTCGCAGCCAGGTTGGTCTGGCCTTCAGCCCTTTGGCTTCCAGATCCTCCGGCCATCTTAACTTGGGAGCATGTGCCGCTCGCCAGCTTTTGGTTCGACGAATTCTACGGAAGTAGGGATGCGAATAATCCCTGTGTTCCTCTCATACCATGTTACAATCCTGAACAGGACTTAGTCAGGGATCGGCTCATGGTTGTTCGCTGGTAGAGTTGCAACGGAAGTGTTGACCTCAGGCCAGAGTGTATGTAAATGACTGAGATGATAAAAGCATGCATACATCGTGTTTATATAGGAAGTACGAAGGAATGCGAAACGACCTAGACTAGCCATGTACTCTAAGTAGGCACAAGCATCCCGCCCCGGCAGGTCGGGTCGACCCGACCCGACCCGGGTTTTGACCCGGGTCGGGTCAGGAGTTCTGAACAGCTGACCCGGCCGGGTCGGGGCGGGTATACTCGGCCGAGTCGGGTCGACTCGTGACCCGATTCCGGGTCGGGTCGGGTCGGGTCGGGTTTGACCCGATTATGGACCCGGCCCGGTTTTGGGTACCGCACCCTTTGTCAGGTCGGGTATCTGGCCCGACCCGAGGGTTTCCTCTCGACAATTTCATCCAAATCGCAATCGCACATGCTACTTTTCCCAGCGACTAGCATTTCGACCTGGATTAAGTTAAGTTACCTAGCTAGTGACGCCAGCAGCCACCCAACAAGCAACATTGGCGTAATAATCTACCCTAGAACCTGCGAGAATGTTTAGTTAGTACTCAGCCAATCGGTTAGTACTCAAACTACTAGGTGACTGCTAGCTTTTTAGCCTTTTGCTAAACACGTAGCACAGTAAGCAACATTGAGTAGTTTATTTACACAGTTGAGGATGTTGCATAAATTAATATTACATACTTTCAATAAATGTAACATTGCACAGTAATAAAGAGAACCTCTAACCCTGTCGGTGGGAGTCGGCTCGACCCAGCCCGACCCAGCTCCGACCCGACCCGACCCGAGGACGGGTCAAGCCTGACCCGGCACCCGATACACAAGTCGGGCCAAAGATATTTGATGTTCCGACCCGACCCGATCCGACCCGGAACCCGGCTGGCTCGCCCAAGTCGGGTCGGGTCGGGTCGGGTCGGGCAGGGCTGACGTTTCAAATTTAGGCACTCTGATTCCAACCCCCAAAAAGATTTTCCACTCTGAAGGCACTTCGGCCAGAAATCAGGCACTCTGATTGGTCAGTGTTCTGAAGTCAGCGTGTCTGACTAGTCAGTGTCGGTGGGTCCGCATCAAGGTTACGGTAGTCCTCATGCACACCGCTGCCCGGCCCTTGTCGGTGGCATTCTGGACTGGCTGGTGTGAATGGCGTGTGACTCGGCAGATTGTTACAGCAGGCAGTGCGCGATTGCTCCATCCGGGCCGAGGGCGTCGTTTCCTCCGCGAGGGAGGGGCCGCAAGGAGGCCCGATGCCCTCGCCGTCGTCACCTCGGGCACGCGAGCGAGGCCAGACTGGAAGTGCCCTGTCAACCGCCCAACTCGCCCGACCCTCCTGGCGAGGAAATCGAGGCTTGGCCCTTCGGGCCCTGACCGGGACGCCGGGCCTCGGCTGCCCGCGGGGACCACTCGCTGACTCAGCTCTGAACCGAATGACGCAGCTGGGTGGGGAACTGGCTGACTCAGCTCACAGTGGGCCGGGTTACCCGGGAAACTCGAATTCCCTGCAATCGCGTATGCGAAACTCGTTACGAACGTAAAGGAAAACTGGTTACGAAAGGGTAGGAAATATAACCATCGAGGCACTGAGAAAATTATCGTAAACTAAATTTGTTTGTATACATGCTAAAAGCATTCAGTGTGGTACGTGGCACGTGACACAGGGAAACACGGCCATAGCTGCAAACACGAGGCGTGAATAGGAAAGCAGAAATCTTTGTGAGCGAATCATGCAATTTTTTGCTCCAATTTTTTTTCCCACTGTGTATTTTCGCGCCCGCGAAAATCGGACGGGTGTTCGCCCCTGAAACGGAAGGGAAGTTCGCACCCGATAATGCCTGTATGCTTTGTGCGAACAGGGTATTTCAACGGCTATCCCTGTGCTAATGTACGCGTGTGTGTTCGCTTGAGCTCAAAAAGGGAAAAATCGAAGCAAACACAATTCAAACGGTGGTTTCGGGCCCAGATTCGCGCAGTTCGACTAAGTACTCAGTGTACAGGCAGAGTGGCGACGCTTAGGATGCGAACCGAGAATGTTGCCCGAATTGAAAAGTACAGTCATTTCGGAATATTCACACGCGAGGACCGAAGGCAAATGTGGAAGTACTCATCTATCATATGCAAGGGTGCTTGCGCACGAAAACCCCAGTGACGTGGGGACGAAATTTTCGTGCCCTTCGAATCGAAACCCATGAGACCAGCACTTTCGCTCATCAGACGACAGGAACAACAAAAATTGTTTTCCCGTTGAGAGGGAGTGGACACGGGAAAATCACGATTTTAAGCGCGGAAACTTGAAATCGCGCCTTCGTTCGCTTTCAAGATCGGAAAAACGTGGGCATTCAAGTCTTCGCACGAATCCAAGTTTTCGCGCCGAAACCAAGACTGCTTAAGAATTTCGAGGGGATATTTCGTGCCTTTGCTAAGAATCACACATTTTTAATAGGCGCGAAACGTTCAAAGAGCTGCCGTTTCGCGCCTACCTAGATGTCTGTGGCTTAACGTGGGTATTTTCGTGTAGTTCGTCTGGTTGCTGGTCCCCCCCGGCCCCCCTTTCCGATTTTTTGGCACATAGTGAACCGTTTTGCTCGTTAAACTCGTGTTTTCGACCCCTTCGATATGATTTTCGGGGGTGACATTTTCGTGCCTTTGCTAAGAATCACACACCTTTTAAGGCACGAAACGTTCAAGGAGCTGCCATTTTGTAACCGCGGTTTCAGGATGCCCCGCTTTTTTTATGGTTAAAACAGATTCTCAATGGGTGTGCTTGGGTGTTGACCCACTCGGTTTCGCTTTGCACCGTACGATGGTGTTCGTGTTTCCTGCCAACTCACAAGTGAGCCCGTTTGTGTGATTCTGCACAGAATCAAAAGGGCAATACAGCCACCATGAATACTTTCGTGCTGGCGGAACCTCGCCGAGAATTTATTAAAACGGGTAGTCGTGAATTCCCGCAAGTGTGAAATTGTCCACGGCATTCGGAGGTCTCGTAAGTACACGTGGGTGTGGAAGTTACGAATTTCTTTTTAGGAGCAAAATTGGAAATCCCCATGAGTTTGAAACTGCTCGTGGGGTTTTTCGTGACATCCACGCAAGTGTGAAAGTCGCCCCTTGATTTCGTGGATTTATGTGATCGTCCTTTTCCGCGGGATGGCCAGTAATTTTGGGGCTCCGATTCTAAATGACCCCACTCGTGCTCTCGGCTTGTACCATATTCGCGTTGGTGAACAATTGACCTGGATAGCGATTCGTTTTTCGGGTAGTTTTCGCGGGTGGAAAAATGGCCGCTTTTCGCGGGTTCATTCGCGGTTCCTGACTTCCCACTACAGCTAGATTTTCCGTGCTATTGCGAGCATGTTTTTCGTGCTATTGCGAGCATGTTCCACAAGGTTCGAAGGCGCGAAACCTTGCTGGACTCGAAGTTCCAGTGTATTTTCGCGCCTGCGAAAACCGGGGCGTTGAAGCCCGCGAACGGGAAGGGGGACTTGTGCGTTTACGACAGATATTTCCAGGGGCGATGTTAGCCTGTCAGTTCGCGGATTTTGACTGCAACCAAAGTACAGGGTTTCTTTTCGTTACGACCAGCCCGACCTCATGAATCCCTCTCTACAGCATAAGTTTTCGCGCTGGTGGGTTCTTGTTCGTGTGTTTTTGTTTTGTTTTTGTTTGTTTGTTTGTTCTTGTTCTTGTTCTTGTTTTACGCTTGCGAGCATACGTCTTCTTCGCTTTTTGTTCGTCAGCCTCTTGTTCTTTGCCACTTTTATATTAACGACGCATACGACGTAGCCACGTGGCTGGCGATGGCGGAAGTTCGGTTCCCCCTGGGGTTAGCTACGGCCAATAATCCCTTCGGTAACCCGTAGGTATTCCCTAGGGCCGTCGGGGCGAGGAAAAATTTTTCCTCAGCGAGGGTCCCTTGGGAATCCCTCGCGGCATGCAGCCTCCCTCGCTCACTGGCGGACGCGTGTCCGCCTTTCCCGCCCGAATCCGTCCCGTCGCCTGTTTCACGTGCGCGGATCCGCGGGAAAAATCACTGTACATATGTATTAGATGTTGTGTATGTACAGTACCTGGCACAGTGCGACCTGGCGCTACAGAACTTTGCTTGCAAGTGCCAAGCCAACTGGCCGAGCTGCTGCAAAGATGAGCTGGCAGTAGGTACGAATTGTTTCTTGGTGGCGCGCCTGGCAGTGACGATTTCACACGTTTGGGCGCGGGGAACACCCGATTTCAGTACCAAAAAGTTCGATATCCTACTTGTGGCGAGATATCCACCCCACCCTCCCCCCCCCTCGATTGTCTGTAAAGTTCTCCGATTCGTTGAGCGATTAAACGCATTTTGGCCCTTTTCTATTTCAAACTTCAATGGTTACCCCAATCACGCAACAATCTAAAATGCGTGTCTTTGTCGCAGATAGGGTGTATTCGGTATCCCCAGCTGGTGAAGTGTACTTTGCTCGCGTGGTAGCACTCTCTGCCAACTCGAATGTGGGTATCGGGATGAAATTTCCAGGAATCTTCGTCTTGATAAACTCGCTTCGGGGACCACAGAATAGATACTCTGTAGAGTCAGACTCCAGAAACGACTAAGTCTGAAGCCTATTACATGGAATCAGGGGCCCCAAAACAATAAGTCTGAGGTACTCAGTGATGAAAAATGGACTTCTCTGGAAATCCATTTTCCACAAAGTGCAAGGTCTGATTCGTCAGACTAATCAGACTAAATAGTCTGATAGCGTCAGCCCTGGGGTCGGGCCTTTTGATCATACCTAACTCTAAGGGGTACATTCCCTTATTACAGCGAAATTCAAACCGTGCGCGCGGAACCCGTTTCAAACATGTTCCTGCTCTTTTCACTTCAAATGTTTCTGCCTGCATCGATCTTGAAATGACGGTTGCTGGTGTCGCTTCGACCCTTCTGTCTCCTCAACTTCATACTCGGTAGAGTAGGCCCCTGCAGCGTACAGGAATGCCTTCTCATAAAAGTTCACATCTCAACAGATGATCCGCGGTTTTTCCACTACAAACACTAAAATAAAAGCGTGTCCCAAAACCAATATGAGGGCCTGATCCATGTCGCGCCTCGAGCGTGGACGCGGTGCAAACGCAATGAATCACTCTCTTGTAGCAAGAATTTGGTTTTTGAATCTCAAAGCACTCCTTCCTCACTACCACACATTGAAAAACATACCCCCTTTGTATTTCCATACTTGCAACAAAGTTTTGTTATTGTTACTGGTGTACCCAACCTTGAGCAACACCAGGATGTTGCTCACATTGGTCATGTATAAACAATATCCAGGTACATAGTCAGTAGCTCCTACCGCCTAAAAACTTTCTCCAGCGGCTGGCCGCTTTTGATCAGAACTTCCAAGCAGGAGGCCAAGCGTCCATGCCTTTTTCACTAGAAATTGCAGATTCCATCTTCTGGGCTTGCATGTCCACCTTAATTGCTGCACCCAGCTCCTCTATTCCCATCACCTCATTCCTGATAGCAAGCAGCTCGTTGGCAATGCTTGCCATGCTTGGCCGATCTGCACTGCGCTCCTTAGTGCAACTGAGAGCCAGCTTGGCCAGGCGCAGCACAGCATCATCCGGGGCGTCCATGCTCAGGTCCTTGAGGGCCGGGGTGTCAGAGGAAATGCACGCCTCCACCTGATTGGTTGGGAAAGTTGGGGAAGGGAATAGAGAAGAAGCATGATTTGACATCATCAAAAGGGGAAGGTTGACCGTTGGCTCTGCTTTGCTTGAGGGAAGGCAACCGGTCAAAGTGCAGTAGCAAGATTGGCACAGAAATCGACACGTCCAGATTGACACGTTAATACGGTAAACAAGGCATATGTCAAAATTGATTCAGTGAAAAAGGCACAGGGTAAAAACGACGCGCGTCATGATTGACAGAGTGTATAGACACAGTGCAAGAAGCACTTCCATGCCAAAAGCATTGCCACATGCACAAGTGATGCCATGTGGGGAAATATATCGCTCACCCATGAAAGGATGTGGTCGCACTCTCCATCACCCGTATGGAGCGGGCGGCTCCGTTTCGTGAGGACCACAAGCATGAGCACACCGAAGCTGCAAGTTAAAGGACAAGCAATTGAATAAAAAGTAGCAAAAATAGGTTGAAGTTTTTTCTACTTCAGGAAACCTAATGTTGAGAATAATAGTTCACCGCCCACCTAGCATTATGCTGCAAGCAGAAATCAACAGCGCAGGAAGATATCATCACTGCAAGCAGACATCATCACTGCAAGCAGACATCATCACTGCAAGCAGACATCATCACTGCAAGCAGACATCATCAATGGCTCACCCATAGACGTCGGTGGCGCTGGTCGCCTTTGATGTGTGAAAGTAGATGGGATCCACATAGCCCGGTGTTCCCATCACTCGAGTCGTGCCCACTGTGCTGCCCTCCTCCGCCCTCACTAGTCCGAAGTCTGCAATCTTGGCCTGATCACAAAGGATGGGATAGCCGCCATAACAAGCGTAAGCCTTAGCAGAAAGCCACCTGGAAAGGATATAATATTGTAGTAAAACATACTTTAATAAATTCTCCATCAACTCAATAACTCGACTCTCATCCACACATATGCCCCATACTACACTCTCAAAATTTTACTGAAGTTATGAAGTGGTTTTTACAACACATTCGAAACAAAACTAACACATACTTGCTAATGATCTGTCATTCAACTCTGTGTGATTTATGAGAAGGGACTTAGTGAATGCACGAAGAGGATGCTGGACAGACTCGCCTGCATGTTGGCCCCGAGAAGGATGTTGGCGGGCTTGATGTCGCGGTGCACAAGGCCAAAACTGTGGAGGTATGCCAAGCCACGTGCAGCACCGATGAGGATATCCAGCTGCTGCTTCAAGGTGAGGCGAGAGGGCGCTTCTGCAGAATGAGTGGGACAATGTTAGCTTAAGCTAGCTTTCGTCCGTCATAGAGGCAGGAAAAGAAGAAGATTGCTAGCGAAGCATTTAGTACCTGTATTGATCCACTTTTCAAGGTCGCCATTTGGAACAAACTCATAGATCAGGATTTGCTCTGGCCGCGTCCTCATATCCCCTCCAACAGCAAACCCGAGCAACCGCACGATGTGGGGATGGTTCTTGTCGGCCATTTGTCGGACCTACGAAGGAACGTATTGTTACAGGATTGGTGGAAAGAACACAATCTCCACCACTGCTTGACTGCATGGGTTGATGATGTGTGTATGATACAGGAGATGTGTCACACGCAATAAGATACACACGCAACAAGTTACACATGCAGCCCTCGCTTCCTCCTCCTCAACACATGTGGCTTGCCTCCTCACCCGCATCATCCGCCGCAGCACCCTTTGGCTGGCTTGCCTCCTCACCTCCCCGGCATCGGCGCCATGTTAGATTATAGCATCAGTTGGGTTGTCAATGTGCAAGTGCAACACCCAAACATGGGTGTACACCTTGGGCCAAAGCGCCCCAACCAGTTTTGGTTGGGCGCGTCCCAACCCCACTCTGCCATAATTGGCGGGGAGAACCAGGCCCCCCAATAATTGGCAGCTACCTTCAAAACATTCTTGGTGGCCACTCCTATTGGCTCACCAATAACATTGCGGGTACCCAACCTAGTTCCCCATACTTTTCATCTCCTATATGTACCCGCCATCGTTTTAATCAAACCAACACTTCAGATTCTCAGATGGAATCAGAGCAACTACGGCTCGCACCATCTTAGATCCTAAGGACCGCACCTACCGCGTGCCGCATTACGCCCCCCCTCCCTCACGCGACACTACGTCACTCTTCGCGCCTAGCACGCTCCTACGCTGTCACGGCCCCCCTCCCCTTGCACTAAATTCCAGCGCCCCTCCCCCCCTTCCTATGGTCAATTCCGCCTCTCACGGCCCTCCCCTCTCTCCCACGAATGCGCCGACCGTCGGAAGGCCACGCCAACCGTCGGAACGGCCAGCGCGACCGTCGGAACGGCGAGCGCGACCGTCGGAATGGCCAGCGCGACCGTTGTTAGGGTTGGTTCGCCCAACCACGGAACCTACGGCGAAATGCGGAATGACGGCGAAACAGAACCGCTTGGATGATTCTAGGTGAAACGGTGGAAATCGGCCTACGGTGGATATTGGAGGCTACGGCGTGAGAAGCGGGAGAAGAATCAAGAAGAAATGTGCTAGGAGGAAGAGAGAGGGAGAAGCATCGAGAATGAGATTGACGAGGGGAAAATGTGGTTCGAGACCAAGGTGCGTTCGAGAAGGTTCAAGAATCGGACTTGAGGAGTGTTCACCGAATTCGGTTCGGTTCCGTGTGCGACTCGGGGTGAAACGAGGCGCGCGCGAGATTGTTTGGGAAACAAGTTACGTTACGAACCGCATTTTGTGCATTGCCTGACTATAAAACTGCTTGTACTCATTCTGGAAAACAACATTGACAACATTGAAACCAATCAGATTCTGAAAATTGCTGAAGTGTGTATTGACAACTTCAAGCAGAGCTGCGCATATCATTGGAATCGTGAGATCGTGGAGAACACGATAAGCAATAGCAAGTAGACTATTGCCGACTAAGGTGTTTACGATCCTAAGAACCGTCGGAACGGCCAGCGCGACTGTCGGAACGGCCAGCGCGACAGTCGGAACGGCGAGCGCGACCGTCCGAACGGCCACGTCGACCGTCGGCACGATTAGCGTGACCAACGGGACGGCCACGTTGACCGTTGTGATCTAAATCGCGGACGGGCGCCACTGCCACGACGGACGTGGGCGCTCGTCGTGACCTAATCCGCCGCCGCCACTGCCTTCCGCCGACGCGGAGCAATCCGCAGCCGCCACTGCATTTCGCCGACGCGGAGCAATCTTCCGCTCACGCGACCTGCTTTCGTCGCCTCTTGCAACAGCTGCTATCACCTTCGCCACCACACCCTTACATAGCCGCCGTGGTCTCATGTCACGGCCTCACACCGTCGCGATGTACCATCGACGCCGCCTGCTGCTGCCGCGACCCTTACGACGACGTCACCACCGATCTCACCTCCGCGGCAGCGACTACTAGCCGCCGCCAACTCACTCCAAACTCCCACCGCCTCCTCCTCTCCCCGCTCTCCCTCTTAAGCCCTCCAGGCCTTCTCTCCTCTCGCTTCCTCCTCCTCAGGGCCTTCCAGCCCCCCTCCCCCCTCGCTTCCTTCTCCTAAGGGCCATCCAGCCCTCCTCTCCCCTCGTTTCCTCCTCCTCAGGGCATTCCCGCCCTCCTCCCCACTCGCTTCCTCCTCCTCAGGGCCTTCCAGCCCCCCTCCCCCCTCGCTTCCTCCTCCTCAGGGCCTTCCACCCCTCTCCCCCCTCGCTTCCTCCTCTTCAGGGCCTTCCAGCCCACCTCCCTCCTCGCTTCCTCCTCCTAAGGGCATTCCCGCCCTCCTCCCCCCTCGCTTCCTCCTCCTTAGGGCCTTCCAGCCCTCCTCCCTCTTCGCTTCCTCCTCCTTAGAGCATTCCAGCCCTCCTCCCCCTCGCTTCCTCCTCCTCAGGGCCTCCCAGCCCTCCTCCCTCCTCGCTTCCTCCTCCTAAGGGCATTCCAGCCCTCCTCCCCCTCGCTTCCTCCTCCTCAGGGCATTCCTCCCTCGGCTGGGGTGCCGCATCATCCGCCGCAGGGCCCCTCCTTCGGCTGGCGTGCCGCATCATCCGCCGCAGCCCCTCCTTCGGCTGGCGTGCCGCATCATCAGCAGCAGCAGCCCCTCCCTCATCTGCAGCAGCCCCCCCCTCTGGCTGGCGTGCGACGTCATCGCCGCGGCACCTTCGGCTGGCTTGCCTCCTCACCTGCAGCAGCCCCCGCTCCTGGCTGGCGTGCGACGTCATCGCCGCGGCACCTTCGGCTGGCTTGCCTCCTCACCTGCAGCAGCCCCCGCTCCTGGCTGGTGTGCGACGTCATCGTCGCGGCACCTTCGGCTGGCTTGCCTCCTCACCTGCAGCAGCCCCCGCTCCTGGCTGGCGTGCGACGTCATCGCCGCGGCACCTTCGGCTGGCTTGCCTCCTCACCTGCAGCAGCCCCCGCTCCTGGCTGGAGTGCGACGTCATCGCCGCGGCACCTTCGGCTGGCTTGCCTCCTCACCTGCAGCAGCCCCCGCTCCTGGCTGGCGTGCGACGTCATCGCCGCGGCACCTTCGGCTGGCTTGCCTCCTCACCTGCAGCAAGCGCCCCCCCCCCTCCCCCCCCCCCCCCCCCCCATCTCCCGGCTTGAAGATTCAGGGGTTGTCTTAGATTATAGCATCAGTTGGGTTGTAAATGTGCAAGTGTAACACCCAAACATGGGTGTACACCTTGGGCCAAAGCGCCCCAACCAGTTTTGGTTGGGCGCGTCCCAACCCCACTCTGCCATAATTGGCGGGGAGAACCAGGCCCCCCAATAATTGGCAGCTACCTTCAAAACATTCTTGGTGGCCACTCCTATTGGCTCACCAATAATGTTGCGGGTACCCAACCTAGTTCCCCATACTTTTCATCTCCTATATGTACCCACCATCGTTCTAATCAAACCAACACTTCAGTTTCTCACAAACACGGGCACCACGGTCAAAGCACGTGACAGAAAAGGTTACTCACATGCAGGAAATTGATGCATGGGTGCTCTGGAGGGGTTGTGTCAAGCGTTTTGATGCAGACGTTTTTACAGGGGTAGCTCCCCGTTCGTTAACCAACTGGGATAAAATGACATGTTTTCTTGGTGGGTCAACACACCCATCCCCTCCAGGATGACTCATGTAGCCCTTAGAAGAGACCACTTCGAGCCATTCAAGTGTCCACTTCCATCACTCCTCTCATTGAGAGGGCCCACCACTAGGGCACAGGAAGTCTGCCAACAGCAAAAATCGAACCCCATTCCTCCACGCTCACCGCACCATGTAGGGATAGATCCCAGTTTGCTAACCAACTGGGATAAAAGAACATGTAGCCCATACCCATACCCCCGCAAAACGACACCTGTAGCCCTTGGGAGACCACTTCGGGCCAATCCAGTGTCCACTTCCAACAGCTTTGACGCTTCACGCTCGGTCACGATTTTTTTGGGCAGACCGTTGATACTTTTCCCCAAATACAATAAAAGGTTCGGGATTTCGTGGTGAAATCGTGACCGCAAATTGCAACTCGACATTCAACACCTTTCACAAAATGGAGTCGCAACAACAATTCCCACACCACGTTGAACCGCACTGGAACAAGAAACCCAATCACCTAGATCTAGAAAGTAAAGCCACACTATTTAGGTCGACAACTTACCTTAGCAGCACTCTTAATCAGGATTAGGTATGGCACGGCCAGCACCAATGATCTTTCTTTCTCCCCCACTCCCCCCCTTCCGAGTTCCTTCTTCCTGCCGAGGAATTTCTTTGGCTGGCCGGACCGAACGGGTTCGTGTTTGGGTTTTGATGATCAACCCTGATTTCAACTTAGCTCACCTCTCTCTGGAAGTCAGCATCCAGCAGCTTGGCTCGCTTGACGGCCCACAGTGTGGTGCCATCGCGCGGAGACACGCCCTTGTACACGTCACCAAAGGAGCCCGACCTCAGCTGGTTGTCACTCGCCCAGTTGCTGGTGGCTGTGAGCACTTCCTCCAAAGAGTACTCCGTGCAGTGCGAGGCTGCCACACTCCCAGCCAATCCTTAGGAAAACCCAATGGATCAAACATAAAAATTCACCCACTGTTTAGCATGGAGGAGCTGGTGAATGCAGTGGCAGTCCACAGAATTACCTACAGCTGACTAGAGAGATGTTTAAAGTCCAAGGAACGTTTCTCAGGCGGTAAAGGGGGGGGTGGCAGGCAAAAAGATGTGACACTGATATCCGTGGCGTGGGCAATGGGGGGATTGCTAAGATTCTTCTACTAGTAAAATGGCTTAAGCTAGAACTCCCTTCCCCCTTCATATTATATCTTGTCAAGCACCGGCTGTCTGTCACCACAACCAACAACCTACTGCCGACCTCACGAATGAAAATTACAATCTTCATTTTCACGATCTTGTCCACACCCTGTGCTTGCTACCTAGTGCACTTTCTTCGGCATACAAGCTTTTGAACGAGGAGGAAAAACAGTGGAGGAAGGAGAAATGGAGGGAAAGAAGTCGATTGTTACCATCAACAGCGCTTAAAAGCACATCCTTGCTCCCTTTGACTGCTGTAGTTGCTCCTTCTGCTGCGTCTTTCTTGGAGGCCCTCCACCATAGCAGCACACTAACCAGCAGCACCAGCACAGAAACCGCAGCCACAGCAATGCCAGCGATGGCTGCTGCTGACAGGCCACGAGACACGGTGGCGGATGGTGCAGGCGACGGGGGTGGTGGTGGGGTGGCAGTGGGGGCAGATGGAGACGCTGTGGTGCTCCGTGGAGATAGGGCGAGCGGCGCTGGAGGAGGGGAGGGAGGGGATAGACATGGGAGAAGGACGGAGCGGGATGGAAAGAAAGCGGCGCGCTGGGCACCACAGCTTGATCGGGCTGGTGCACTCGCTAATATGGCTTGTGAAGCAGCAGGAGTATTGGTGATGCTTCCTGTTGACTTGTACCCTCATGTGTGAGATTACGGGTAGTGATGATTTTCAGTGTATGGTGAAATGAAACAATCAGGACACATGCTAGAAGCATGTTAGAAGGGAGAATCGCTCAGTGTGTCTCACATGCTGCTGCCTTGACACAGGTGGTGCAGAAGGAGAGGCAAGAGCGGCAAAAGGCGCTTTGAGGCTTTTGCTCGACCACGCATTCGGTGAAGTCGGGAGGGCATGAGACTGTGGTTCCATTCAGATCCCTGCACGTGCAGAGAGAGTGCAGAATCACTCAACTATTGCGGCCCAGAAATACTCAGCTATTGCAGTCCAGTATCACTCAAATCACCAGTTGGTGCGAAGCAATGCAAAATTGGTTGCAGCAGACTGGTAGTACAACAATGCTCATGCCTAGACGTACTGATTGCCAAGTCACGTGATCTTAAAAGAACGCGTTGTTACAAACAGCACAAAGTAAAGAAAGCTTAGGGTTTCAATGCCAATATCTCATTGTCGTCCAATTAAACGCCTTTAAGCATATTCTTGGACGAAAAACCTCAGAGCTAATGCACAATGCACAAGTCAAGACTCACGTGCTTCCATTCTGGGTCAAACCACATGAGTGGCGTGGCGTGGAATAGCAAGAGGGGTCTGGCTTGCTGTGGCTGACCTGTGAAGCCAATGAAGAATAGCACTTACAAGACACGAAGATTTGTGAGACTACCAAACGAAGCAGGAATGCTGCCCACAAAGCTATTATCACGGAGGTCCCTAATGAGATAACGACGAGGGAATGCATTTGGCAAGATTACTGGAAAGCACTATATATTAGCAATCGAGAGAAGAATGCATACAATGGTGAAGATCTTATGCTGTTCCATTTTCCCATACTACTGTGTCCCCTATGGACTGTTGCTTGCTGCCTTTGACTGTACGTGGCAAAGGGGATGTGTTTGTATTGTACCCAGCCAACAGACTTGTCTGCATGGAGTCATTACCAACCATGCTAAGCGGGCATATACGCTCAGCCTACCGGGCGTATATCGTATATACGCGATGTATATATGCTAAACGCAATACGCTATCGTACATGCTGTACACTCAACCAGAAATGTACTGGGCAGCCCGTGGAAAAAAAAGATATAGGTCTTGACGAAAACGCAAATTCGAGATTTTGTATGCGAATAAAACTCACGAACCCCCTCGTATATGAAATCTGACGAAATTTATGCAAGCACAAAACAGGCCAACAAAGTACAAAAACTGCACTTCACCACACTGATTCTATGTCTTCCAACCAGTCCACCAATTCCCAATCCAGGTCGACAAGATCTGGCCCATTTGTTGGTCATAGGGTTTTCATATCCTAGGGTTTTCTCGACCAGCACTAGTCTAGCTTAAGAGCACTTCTAGTACGTTTTTTC